AAGCAGGGTGCTTCTATGAAGCCTTCCCCCCTCCCCCTGCCCTCCCTCTGCGCGCCGCCAATTTACCCCCATCCACTGCGTCTCGGGTTGTCGGCATCCCTTCCCCAACTAGTCCAGACGCCGTACGTGTGGATGTAAATCTTGCCCGCGCCGTCGCCCTCAGCATCATCCCCATGAGCATGACCGGGAGCTTCCTGAACAAGAGGCGCCGAATAATAATCATATGCGTGTGCATACATTCGATGTTCCGAGGTCCGCGCGGTTTTTTTTGGTCGGCGCCAGACCTTCCGTGGCATGCGGAGCCCGACGGGGGTGGCATTGGAGGTGCCGCTGGGGGGGGCCCAACGCTCATCCAAGACATCCGCACAGACCTCCGACTGTTCATGTTTATGCCAGCTTCTGCTCCCCCACTCGGACATCTGACGTCGTTGTTTCTTTTCCGCAGCGTGGCTCCCCAGAGGTTTGGACCCCTTTCCCGGGACCGGCTCTTCATCTTGAGTCGCTTGGAACGTCCCGGGGCCCGGTGATGGCCCCGGAGGCCGAGAATTGCGAAAATAATCACCCGTCGTGGTAGCTGTTCGCCAAGTCAGGTGTTCGATCATGGACCCTCGCCGAGCGCAACCATCCAGCTTCCGCGCCGATGATCGCTGGAAAGCGCAAACGACCGCCAGAAGCCGCCGAGGACCGCCGAAGACCGCCGGCAAGCCGCCGAAGACCGCCGGAGAGACCGCAGGGAAGACCGCCGCAGGCCGCCCGAGGCGAGGCCGACGGGCAACGAGGAGCCCGTGGCCGAACATGTCACACAACGGGGGGAGGCCGGGGGTTCCTTCTTCCTCCTCCCTCCTCCCTCCTCCTGCTCCTCCTCCTCCTCCCTCCTCCCCCTCCCTCCTCCTCCTCCCTCCTCCTCCCCTCCTCCTCCTCCTCCTCCTCCTCCTCCTCCTCCTCCTCCTCCTCCTCCTCCTCCTCCTCCCTGCAAGGCACCTAGACGAGCGGTGGTACAACGCGGGCAACCTGATGTTCTACGTCACGCTGCTCGTGTCCGTCGTCTTCTGGGCCGGCTCCGCGTGGGCTGTGCAGGAGGCGTTCGACCGGCACGGCGAGGCCCTGCGGTCGCCGCGGGCGGACTGCGTCCACCTGGACTGGCTCGACCACCGGGCCGCCTTCGTCGCGGAGCGCTCCGCGGTGAAGTGGGAGGAGCTCCGAGCAGGAAAAGGTCACCTCCATAAGTCGTTGGTTTGACCCCCCCCTTTTCACTCGGCGGTGAGCAGGACTGTTCCTAAAACCTCTGCCTCCTCCTCCCCCCGCTCCCCCTATGGGTGGGGCCCGGGTCCTTCAGTAACTTCAGTAAGGCGCCGGAAAAATTGGCAGTTACCCCCTAGTGGGGGGGTTCTAAAAGGCTTGTCAAGGGCACCGTGTCGTGAGCCCAGATATCCGACGATGTGATTGCTTCGATCCCGACGGCTTTTCCCAGATTCCGGCCCAGGGGGGGCATCCACGACGGATCTTGGACGAAAGAAGCTACCCCTGGAGGAGGGGTCGGGAGGTCTGGAACCTCCCGCCGGCCCGAGGGGGACAACGACACCGACGCCCGCTGCTTGTCCTGGAGGGCCCTCGTTGCCACGGCTGCGTGCTCGAGGCTCTGGTCCGCACGCGCCCTGGGAGAGGCCCCCCCGGGGGAGCAGCCGCCTCGGTGTACACCTTTGTGAGATCCTTGCCTCCTCCTCCTCCTCCTCCTCCGCCTCCTCCTCCGCCTCCTCCTCCTTGCCTCCTCCCTCCTCCTCCCCCCCCTCCTCCTCCTCCTCCGCTCCTCCTCCTCCTTCCTCCTCCTCCCCTCCCCCTCCTCTCCTCCTCCTCCCCTCCTCCTCCTCCTCCTCCTCCTCCTCCTCCTCCTCCTCCTCCTCATCCCGCCTCCGCCTCCGCCTCCGCCTCCGCCTCCTCGCCTCCTCCTCAGGAGCTGCCGGGCGCCGTGCGCGGCCTGTACCTGCTCGGGGCCCTCGTCGCCGTGCTGGTGGCGGACGCCGGGGGAAGGGAGAACCTCGGCGGCGAGCGAGGGGGGGGGATCTCTCGCAAGTCGCTCGTGGAGCGGGTTGTGAGGTGTCAGTGCCGAGGGGAACAGCCAAGCATTGGGGGGCGGAGTGGGGCGGCGAAGCCCTCTCGGAGGGCGGCCGGGCTGCTCGGACGCAGCTCGCGCCTGCTGGGGAGTCTTCGGCGTCTGCGCGGGAGGCTTGGAAAGCTTCTCCGAAGGCCGGGGGACTCTTGCGCCTCCTGAGTCGGCGCTCAGGAGACGGGGGTCGATGCAAACGGGGGTCAGCCAGGGCGCCCGATCTTGCAGGATCCTGCAGGGCCAGGGCCGCACTGACCCGGATTGGGGTGCAGGGCAGGATCTTGCAGGATCCTGCAGGATCCTTCGCGTTGACCCGGGCTTGAGAGCAGGATCTTGCGGAATCTTGCAGGATTTTGCAAGGCCTGACTGACCTGGGTCTGGATTTTATTTGAATCAAAAGGACCCCGACTGAGAAGGCCCGCCCCTTCTCGCTTCCCCTCCGGGCCCGCCGCCGAGACAGCGGCACGCGCACATACGGCGGGGGCGTTCGCTGAGGAGCGTGTCCAGGCGGCCTCGGGTCCTGGAGGATGCCTGAGCTGATGAGGGCGGCGGCGATTTCCATGGCCAAGCCCCAATCCCAGACCCCTCGGGTAATCACAAAATCATGACGGGAGGTTTTTCCCTATTTTCGGCCTCTCGAGGCCCTCACCGGGCCTCGTGGCTGTCAGAACACGGCGCAGGATGCAAGGCCGGTCTCGGGGAAGAGGTCGAGGCCTCTGAGGGTCGACGTCATGAAAAAATCATGACGTTGGGGGCCTGGGATGCGTGCTCCACCGGGCCTTCAGACCCTCGGTGCCTTCCCAAAAGGGTTCTTCATCCAATGCGGAAGCTGGAACGTATACATTACCAGTGGCGGGCTGCTTTTGAATCCCAGCAGTTCTTGAGGGTCGGGGACGACGTCGGGGTGGTGTGGTGCATACTCTTTCCCCGTTTTCCCGTGGAAGCAACAACAAATGTATACACCAGGATGCCGTATACACCAGGACCCGTCTTCTTGTGCGAATCTCAGTGCGGGACCAGAAAAAGGCATCGGTGTATAGAGTTTGGTGTATCGCCGATTCCAGGTCGATGCGTTCCGCGCGGGGCGTCCGCGGAAAGACGCGTCGTATCCACGGCCTGGCGGGTCGGCCCCCAGTCGACCGAGACGTTCTCGGAGAGCGACCCGAGTCCCAGAACCGTGAGGGTGATCCCGGATCCCCGCGGACTCACCGCACGGTGTAGTCACCGTAACGCTTGGGGGCCCCCGAAGGTTTCCCGCCCTCGGAGGGGAGGAGGAGGAGGAGGAGGAGGAGGAGGAGGAGGAGGAGGAGGAGGAGGAGGAGGAGGAGGAGGAGAAGGTCGCCTATCCCCCCCTATCGTTGCCCCTCACCAGTGCCCTCCTCGTGCACACTGCTGGAGGTCCGTGCGGGTTCCCCCCGGCCGGCGCTGGCGCCCCGCTGCAGCGGTGCCTCCGACGCAGCCCCCGGCGCTCTCCACGCGCCCAGCGCCAGCCCAAGAGTCCCGCGCGGACCTCCGACGGTGTACACGGCGGTCGTTGAAAGCAGGTATTCTTGGATTCCCAGATCCCAATCTGCTTCGAGCGCCTTCCTACTTCCCAGTTCCTTCCTAGTTCAAGAACAGTCAAAAAATAGTCTAGGAATTATTGTTTGACTGACTATTTTTGAGCATTTTGGGGGTATGTTGTGAGTCTTTTTAATTTTTCGCCCCAAAATCCCCCTGTAGGGGGACAGGCCCGACTTCAGCACCTACCCAAGAAATCCGCGCGGACCCCCGACAGCTTATGCTCGTTGCCGCTTTTTCTGCCCCTGAGGACCTCCTCTCGATCGCGGGGGGCGCCTGCTTCGGTCCCGTGCAGGTCTGCCGGCGGCCACGGACTCGAGGGCCGAGCCCCTGGGCCGCGACCCCGTGGGCAGGGGGGCGCTTTTTGCGCGGATGCTCCACGCGATCCGCGGGGTCTCGCCCCGGAATCCAGACCGCAGGGCGCTGATGTGCCCAGATAGCCGACCTCTTGACTTTGTACAACGTGGACCGCCTTTTCCCGGGATCCGCTTTTCATACTCTTAGTTGGTTTCGTTGACGGTCCCGGGCCAAGCGAGGGCCCCAAAACGCCGACAGCGACAAAACAAATTGTCCACCTTGACCCAGCGTCGCGAAATAAGTTGAACATCTTCAGAATCACGATGGTAGCCTTGGTCGACCCCATTGTTCTGCTGCACTGTCCGAGCCAGATCGATCCGCGATGGTCCTGGCCCAAGACCCGGCGAAAACGCCCTGTGCGAAAAAAATCCAGCGCCTGGATCTCAGGGTACGTGTGAGGTCCGGACCCCTTTCCCGAGACCAGCGTTTCGTTCCGCATCGTGTCTGGACGGTCCCAGGGCCCCGCGAGGGCCCCACAGCGCCGAAAATGGCTCCAAATCTGTGGCTATGATTGTTGTCCGATGCTGGGAAAACCAACAGGTACCGATACCGCTGCTCCTCGGACCTCTCCTCGGAGGTCGTTCTGACCAGGATGTCGAGACGAATCCAGCGGCGGCGACGAGGGCTTCCTCCCAGGAGGGTCCCCCAAAAAAGGGGAAGACGGGCGAAGGGTAGAGGCATATGGGTACACGCCGGTCGTTGAAAGTATGTATTTCTGGATTCCCAGATCCCAATCTACTTCAAGCGCCTTCCTACTTCAAGAATCGACACGCTTATGCTGTGTTTTGCTATTCTCTGGGGGTGCCTGGACCCAATCGACTGAATCCGCCTTCCTTCTTCATGTCTTTTCTTTTTCTTACTTCCTCCGACCGACGTGTACTTTTCCTCCTCCCCCTCCTCCTCCTCCTCCTCCTCCTCCTCCTCCTCCTCCTTCTCCTCCTCCTCCTCCTCCTCCTCCTCCTCCTCCTCCTCCTCATCCTCCTCCTCCTTCCTCCTCCTCCTCCTCCTCCTCCTCTCCTCCTCCTCCCCCTCCCCCTCCTCCTCCGAGGAGGAGGAGGTGGTGCGCCCGCCGCTCGCCGCAGGTCACCGCGAGCCTCGGCGATCTGCAGTGGCTCGGCCCCGAGGGCATCGTGCGGCCCCCGGGCGCCGCCGGGCTCGCGGCCGCGCTGGCCGCGGGGGCGGCCCGCCTGGCCGCGGCCTGCTGGCTGCGGCGCGCGGAGCGAGAGCGCGCCGCGCGGGCCGCCGAGGAGGGGGGCGCCGGAGAGAGAGAGAGAGAGAGATCGGCCACGCGCAGAGCCAGGGTGCACAGGGGGTGGAGGGGGGGGGGGATGGGGGGGGGGTTAGGGTTAGGGGTTAGGGGGGTAGGGGGGGGAAGGGGGGTTAGGGGGGGGATCGGATTTTTTGTTCCCCCTCCGATCCCCGTGGGGTTTGCCTCCGATCCCCCGGGGTTTTGCTCTCGATCCGGTTCCAGTTCGGTTTCGGACCCCTGCGATTTACAGATTTTATGCAGAAAGCCTCGCTCTCACCTCCTCCCTCTTCCTCCTCCTAAGCCTCTCTCTCACCTCCTCCCTCCTCCTCCTCATTCCTCCTTCACTCTCTCTCTCTCTCTCTCGCTCTCTCTTCTGTGTGTTTTCGTTCGTCGCGCATTCCTCTTCCTCCTCATCCTTCTCCGTCTTCCTCCTCATCCTCTTCCCGATCATCCTCCTCTTCCTCCTCCTCCTCGTCCTCATCCGCCTCCTCCCCCTCCCCCCCTTTTCTGAAGGAGTGCCATAACTTTGGGAAAACCATTGGAAAACAAAAAAAAAACTGAAGTGCTGGAGGCGAAAACTTTAGGACACCCATTGGAAAAACCAAAAAAAAAAAAAAGATTCCAGGGAACACCCGTCCGAAGGGACACGTCCAAAGGGAATCCCAGCACTCTCTGTGGAATCTTTGTTTTTTTTGTTTTTTGGGGTTTTTTCCAATGGGTTTCCTAAAGTTTTCGGCTCCAACAGTTCAGTTTCTTTGGTTTTTTTGGTTTGTTTCCCATGGTTTCCCCAAAGTTTTTGAATTGTGTGCTGTTGGGGCCTCTCAGGCGGGAGCATCGTTTAGAGTGTTCTATCGGGAACCTCTCTGGCGGGAGCCTCCCTTTGTTTGCGTTTTGGGGGACTTCTCAGGCGGGAGCCTGAGGGAGCCATGAGGGAGCCATGGGGGGAGCCACGAGGGAGCCATGGGGGAGCCATGGGGAGCCGTGGATGGGGTGGGGGGAGCATCCTCCTCATCTCCCTCCTCTCCTCATCCTCGTCTCCTTGTCTCCTGATATTGTATATTCTCCTCCTCCTCCTGCTCCTCGTCCTCTGCGCCTCTCGCTTTCTCATGTTCCTCGTCTTCCTCCTCATCTTCATCGTCCTCATCCTCATCGTCATCCTCTTCCTCATCCCATCCTCATCATCATCTTCATCGCCTTCTTATCTGCATATTACATATTCTTCCTCAGCATCATCATCTTCCTCATCCTCACCTTCCACATTCTCATCTAGACGAGGATGAGGAGAGGAGGGAGATGAGGAGGATGCTCCCCCCACCCCATCCACGGCTCCCCATGGCTCCCCCATGGCTCCCTCGTGGCTCCCCCCATGGCTCCCTCATGGCTCCCTCAGGCTCCCGCCTGAGAAGTCCCCCAAAACGCAAACAAAAGGAGGCTCCCGCCAGAGAGGTTTCTAAACGATGCTCCCGCCTGAGAGGCCCCAAAAGCACACAATTCAAAAACTTTGGGGAAACCATTGGAAAAACCAAAAAAAAACAAAGAAACTGAATTGCTGGAGCCGAAAACTTTAGGAAACCCATTGGAAAAACAAAAAAAACAAAGATTCCACAGAGAGTGCTGGGATTCCCTTTGGACGTGTCCCTTCGGACGGGTGTTCCCTGGAATCTTTGTTGTTTTGTTTTTTTGGTTTTTCCAATGGGTTTCCTAAAGTTTTCGCCTCCAGCACTTCAGTTTCTTTGCTTTTTTTGTTTTCCCAAAGTTATGGCACTCCTTCAGAAAAGGGGGGGATGGGGAGGAGGCGGATGAGGACGAGGAGGAGGAGGAAGAGGAGGATGATCGGGAAGAGGATGAGGAGGAAGACGGAGAAGGATGAGGAGGAAGAGGAATGCGCGACGAACGAAAACACACAGAAGAGAGAGCGAGAGAGAGAGAGAGAGTGAAGGAGGAATGAGGAGGAGGAGGGAGGAGGTGAGAGAGAGGCTTAGGAGGAGGAAGAGGGAGGAGGTGAGAGCGAGGCTTTCTGCATAAAATCTGTAAATCGCGGGGGTCCGAAACCGAACTGAAACCCTCGATCCCTATGCTGGTGCGTCGAGGCTCTCGCGGGGTCGCTGTCGCCCAGGATCCGCCATGGGGGCGTGTTCGTCCAGGCCGGGCCTGTCGGGCCGGGCCTGTCGGGCCGGGCCGGTCGGTCTCCGGTGGCGCGAGACCGGTCGGTCCAGTCTCGGGCCCCGGGCCGGTCGGTTTTCGGGCCGGCCCTGGACCGAGGCGAGGCTTGCTCAGAAGAGCGCCCTGCTTCTCGGAGGGCGCGGGCGCCCCTTCTGAGGAGCCCCGCGGCTGCTTCTCAGGGGCTGCGGCTCCTGGCGTGCTTCGGAGAGGCAGGTGGCTGGCTTCTGAGAAGCTGCGCTTGCTTCTAAGAAGCAGCTCCGTGCTTCTATGAAGCTGGTGGAGTGCTTCTAAGAAGCGGCGCGCCCATGGCTTCTTAGAAGGGCAGCCGCCGCCTTCTAAGCGGCATCCGTTTTCTAAGAAGCCTTCCCCTCTCCCCCTACCCCCTTTGTGCGCGCCGACCAAAAAAGGTACCCTTAAGTCGGGCATGTCCCTCTACAGGAGATATCTTCAAGCATGGTCAACGAAATAGTGCGGGGACGGTGTTCCGATATGTTTTGACGATGTTTGAGCTGTTGTTGGCTATTTTTTAGTTGTCTTCCGAAACCCGCCTGTAGGAGGGCATGCCCGACCTCAAGGTACCCAGAGGTCCTGGCGACCTACAGCCCGAGCGAGGCATCCGGTCGAGGTCGGCTCGCGGAGGGCACCCCGTATAGTGTTCTTCGTGGTCGGTGGGATGTTATCGAGCATCCGGGGGGGGGTACCCTTGGACGCTCGGTCTGCTTTGGCCGACGGAGGGCCTCGTGTTCTTGAGGGAGGTTCTTCTGGCCCAGGTCCGAGGGCATGTTGCTCGCCGCGGGCGCTTTCGCCAGGTTCTTGGCACATCGCTCGGACCTGTGCCTTCGCTCTTGTCGAGGGCCATCGAAGTGCATCCCGAGGCTCATCTTCCGGAAAAAGAGACGCACGAAACCCAGAAATGCACGGGGAATGGATGTCCGAGCGATGGCACGGGTTTCAGGCCCCGGGGCCCTCACAGGTCTGGAGGTCTGGATTCTGGGGCGCGATCTTGTGGAGAATCATGCGGGCGAGCCTTGCGGTTCTCTGGCGTCGTATTTGTTTTCGCAGCGGGCATCTTCGCCAGGTTTCGGGGCCCTGGGACCCAGCCCTGTCGATAATCACGCGGGCGGGCCCTGAGATCCTGGCGTCGCAATTTTTCCACAACGGGCGATTTCGCCAGGTTTCGGGTCCCTCACAGGTCGATCCAACTCAAAAAGTGTCGCAGAAAGATGGGGCACGGGACTCCGGCCGTGTTGTTTCTGCGATGCTGCAATTTTTGCTGCAACGTCGGATCTCAAGATACATCCGTATCCGATCCCGCGGATACGCGGTCGCGCGGATACGTTCCGTGCGGGGCATCCGCGAATGAGCGCCCCGTATCCGCGGGGTCGTGGCCCTGGGGCCTGGCCCGCGAGGCCGACGCACATGTTCCCCGTTTTTCGCCCATGCACCCTGAGATCCTCGCGTCGCATTGGAAGCATCAAGGCGGAAAGTGGTTCGTCGTTTTCAGCGTCTGGGGGCCCTTCCCAGGGGAGTCAGAGCTCCAGGGACCCCACATTTTAGATTCAAGACGTCGGAGGGTATGGGTATGCATGTCCACGCCCTCGAGGTCTGGATTCCGGGGCCCGACCGCGTTGATAATCACGCGGGCGAACCTTGAGATCTTGACATCGCGTTTTTGTTTCGCAACGTGCGATTTCGCCCTGTGGCGGGCCTCGGGATGCGCACGGAACGATCCAGCTCGGAAAATGCAGCAGAAAGACGGGGTCCAGGGCTCTGGCCGAGTTTTGTGTATGCGCATCGTGGCAGCGTCGTCGTGGCCTCGAGCCTCAGGGAAGGTTCCGAGACCGCTGCGGGTCCGGGAGCCGGGAGAGCCCTCGTCGCCACACCGAGGCCCCCTCCTCCTCCTCCTCCTCCTCCTCCTCCTCCTCCTCCTCCTCCTCCTCCGCCTCCGCCTCCGCCTCCGCCTCCTCCTCCGCGTCCGCCCCCGGAGGTCTCGACCCTGTGCCCCGGGACTGGTTTCTCCTCCTCGATCGGACGTTTTTTACCTAACAGCGAAGACTGATAGGTTTCTAGTGGGGTCAAAAGAGAGCATCATGACTCCTCAGGGGGGTCGGGGCGGGACCCGGGGCGGGACCCGGCGCGGCTGCCGTCGAAGCCCAAATCGCTTGTGACATCCTCGCAAAATCGCTCTTGGCGCTGCTAGAACTCCATTCCCGGCGTACATTTTGGATGCCCGGAGCCAACTGTAGGCCACTTCGTGCTCTTCGACTTCCCAGAACTCCATTCCCGGGCCACATTTTGGATGCCCGGAGCCAACTGTAGGCCACTTCGTGCTCTTCGACTTCCCAGAACTCCATTCCCGGGCCACATTTTGGATGCCCGGAGCCAACTGTAGGCCACTTCGTGCTCTTCGAGTTCCCAGAACTCCATTCCCGGGCCACATTTTGAATGCCCGGAGCCAACTGTAGGCCACTTCGTGCTCTTCGAGTTCCCAGAACTCCATTCCTGGGCCACATTTTGAATGCCCGGAGCCAACTGTAGGCCACTTCGTGCTCTTCAAGTTCCCAGAACTCCATTCCTGGGCATGATTTTGAATGCCTGGAGCCAACTGTAGGCCACCTCGTGTTCTTCTAGTTCCCAAAACTCAATTCCTGGGCCACATTTTGAATGCTGAGGCAGGCTGGCAGGCTGAGGCTGAGGCAGGCTGAGGCTGAGGCCGAGGCTGAAGGCAGACTGAGGCTGAGGCTGAAGCAGGCTGAGGCTGAGGCAGAGGCAGGCTGAGGCTGAGGCAGGCTGATGCTGAGGCAGGCTGAGGCTGAGGCTGAGGCTGATGCAGGCTGAGGCTGAGGCAGGCTGAGGCTGAGGCCGAGGCTGAAGGCAGACTGAGGCTGAGGCTGAAGCAGGCTGAGGCTGAGGCTGAGGCAGGCTGAGGCTGAGGCAGGCTGAGGCTGAGGCTGAGGCAGGCTGAGGCTGAGGCTGTGACTGCGACTGCCGTTGCCACTGCGACTGTCATCGCGAATGCGACTACGACTGCGAGAACAGCAGAATTCTACAATTGGATTCTCATCTGAATCTTAAGGGGAATGCTTCCAGATATGCTCCTACACATCGCTGTTAGGTTGCCTTGCCGGGATAATTGTGTCGATCCCGAGGCCCAGTATCAGGGTTCCCAGAGGCCGAGAAGGCAGCGAGGGGCCCTGCCGCCCAGCTGGGCCAGCGAGAGAGCGCACAGCCCGGGAGAGGTCGGGGGAGCACCGCGGCGTCCGTGCGTGCTTCTTGCCCCCCGAGGAGGTCGACCCGCACGAGGCCGCATGGAAGGAGCGCCGCCTCCAGGACCGTCGCCGAGCAAGCCCAGATCTCCGGCGGAGGAGGAGGAAAAGGAGGAGGAGGAGGAGGAGGAGGAGGAGGAGGAGGAGGAGGAGGAGGAGGAGGAGAGTGAGTTTCAGAGTTTCCGCCCCAGCCGCAAGGCCTATAGGCCTCCCAGATGGGGTCGGCGGATCGCGCTGCATCGCCGATGCATCGGCGATGCGGCTCGATGTGGGGCCCGATTCCCGCCATGCTGGCGTCGCCGATGCATCGCCGATGCATCGCGGATGCATCGGGGATGCGGCTCGATCCTCCGACCCCATCTGCTTGGACCCCATCTGGGAGGCCTCTAGATGTGATGTTTTCAGGCCGGGCATGTGTCCTCGACGGCGGCCACTTGGGGGGCCCGTAATCGGGCCCCCGAAGTGGCCACCAATGAACGGGTCGGGGGCGCAGAGCTGCGGGGGGGTGGGGTCTGGGGTTACGTGGGGCATGTGCCTCTACAGGAGGAAAATACAATTACCCTGGCGACGTACCCAACCCTTGCGCAATGCGGGGCATAAGTATATCAGGATTGCTACAACGGGGGCGATGACGTAACATGGACGCATGTGACTTTGCGAGCAGCAATCGGAAGGCTCGCAGGCCCCCGATCAAGATATGAGGGCTACGTTATAACAAATCACCCCCGTTGGCTGTGCCATGCGCCCGTTGCACCCAACGTATCCCGCAGCAGCTCTTGAGAGCCCCCGCGGTGCAACGTTATGACCATGGCCCGGCAGATTGTCTGTTTCACAAATCACCCCCGTTGGCTGGGCCATGCGCCCGTTGCGCCTAACGTATCCCGCAGCAGCTCTCCATAGCCCCCCAGGGACGGCGAGGTCTCGCTCAGGTCCCCGCGGTGCTTCACTCCGCTGGACCCACCAGCAGCCCTCGAAGGTGGCGACAGTGTCGCAGATCGCGGCGCCTCAGTCCGCTGGACCCAGCAGCAGCCCTCGAGAGTGGCGACAGTGTCGCAGATCGCAGCCCCCCCCGGAACGGCGAGGTCTCGCTCAGGTCCCCGCGGTGCCTCACTCCGCTGGACCCACCAGCAGCCTTCGAAAGTGGCGACAGCGTCGCAGATCGCAGCCCCCCAGGGACGGCGAGGTCTCGCTCAGGTCCCCGCGGTGCTTCACTCCGCTGGACCCACCAGCAGCCCTCGAAAGTGGCGACAGCGTCGCGGATCGCAGCCCCCCAGGGACGGGGAGGTCTCGCTCAGGTCCCCGCGGTGCCTCACTCCGCTGGACCCAACAGCAGCACTCGAAAGTGGCAACAGCGTCGCGGATCGCAGCCCCCCATGGACGGCGAGGTCTCGCTCAGGTCCCCGCGGTGCCTCACTCCGCTGGACCCAGCAGCAGCCCTCGAAAGTGGCGACAGTGTCGCAGATCGAGCCCCCCCCCGCCCAGGGACGGGGAGGTCTCGCTCAGGTCCCCGCGGTGCCTCTCTCCGCTGGACCCACCAGCAGCCTTCGAAAGTGGCGACAGCGTCGCGGATCGCAGCCCCCCAGGGACGGCGAGGTCTCGCTCAGGTCCCCGCGGTGCCTCACTCCGCTGGACCCACCAGCAGCCTTCGAAAGTGGCGACAGCGTCGCGGATCGCAGCCCCCCCAGTTACGGCGATGCCTCGCTCAGGTCCCCGCGGTGCCTCACTCCACAGGACCCACCAGCAGCCCTCGAAAGTGGCGACAGTGTCGCAGATCGCAGCCCCCCAGGGACGGCGAGGTCTCGCTCAGGTCCCCGCGGTGCCTCACTCCGTTGGACCCACCAGCAGCCCTCGAAAGTTGCGACAGTGTCGCAGATCGCAGCCCCCCAGGGACGGCGATGCCTCGCTCAGGTCCCCGCGGTGCCTCACTTCGCAGGACCCACCCGCAGCCCTCGAAAGTGGCGACAGTGTCGCAGATCGCAGCCCCCCAGGGACCGCTCAGGTCCCCGCGGTGCCTCACTCCGCTGGACCCACCAGCAGCCTTCGAAAGTGGCGACAGCGTCGCAGATCGCAGCCCCCCCAGGGACGGCGAGGTCTCGCTCAGGTCCCCGCGGTGCCTCACCCCGCAGGACCCACCAGCAGCCTTCGAACGTGGCGACAGTGTCGCAGATCGCAGCTCCTTGGCAAGATGCACACACAAGAGGTACCGCAGCCAGGATGCACACACACACACACACGCACACGCACACGCACACGCACACGCACACGCACACGCACACACACACACACACACACACACACACACACACACACACCACACACACACGCACACGCACGCACACGCACACGCACACGCACACGCACACGCACACACACACACACACACACACACAACACACACACACACACACACACACACACACACACGCACACGCACGCACACGCACACGCACACGCACAACGCACACACACACACACACACACACACACACACACACACACACACACACACACACGCGCGCGCGCGCGCGCGCGAGGTACGCGCAAGGCAAGGAGAGAAAAGACCGAAGCGGGAGACGGGAGGCGGGAGGAGGAGGAGGAGGAGGATTGGAGACCGCAGTGCTCTATTCAAAACGAATGCCCAAGTAAAAGAAATGATCGAGGGACGATTTCTTGTATTATTTGAACATGTTGACCATGTTTTATCTTTCTTCCAAGATCCGCCTGTAGCCTGTAGGAGGACATGCCCAACCTAAGTCTTGGGCCGCGGACGGAACATATCATATCCGAGGGGAGTCTGTTGGGTGTGTCTAGGGGCCCAGCGCTACAGTGGACGCCCATGCCAAGAGACACCCTGCTTGCCTCCAGGGTGCCATGGGTTTCTTGGGTTTCGATGGCTTTGCGAGGGCAAGCGAGACGTGCCCACACCACAGGTCCTGAGGCCTCAGGGCTGGGCTTGTCGTGGAAGGTCTCTTGTGGTCGAGCTCCTACTGCAGGTGGGAGGCGGGATAGGCACCGCACATCGTCCCCACGCTCGACGCCCACACTCGGAGGAATGAATGAATGAATGAATGAATGAATGAATGAATGAATGAATGAACACTTGCGATCCATGACCTGCTCCATGGCTCAACAGGGCAACAGAGCGACATATCATACGTGCTGGATCTGTGAAGCTCGAGCTGTAAGGAGAGCCTGCCTGGCAGCCTCGCTGGGGGACGCCTCTGGCTGACGGCGGGACCCCACAAAAGGGAAGAAGCACGGGGCCCGCCTGCAGCACCGTCCCTTTCACGCGCTGCTCCGAGGGGGGTCGAAATGCTTCCTCGGCTGCAGCAAGGGGGTGTGGGTCGCCAGAGCCATTTCCTGCAGCAAGGGGGCCCCCAAAGGAGGAGGAGGAGGAGGAGGAGGAGGAGGAGGAGCAGGAGCAGGAGGAGCAGGAGGAGGAGGAGGAGGAAGAGGAGGAGGAGGAGGAGGAGGAGGAGGAGGAGGAGGAGGAGGAGGAGGAGGGGGGGGGGGGCACCAAGAACGGGTCGGGGGCGCCACGGCGCGCCGAGGCGGCGGCGGCGGCCTCTCGCCAGGGAGTCACACCTGAGCTGGGTGCCGCGCTCGCGAATCCCAGACCCCTCCGACCACATCCACTCCGACCCCATCCAGGAGGCCTCCGGCTGTTCAGGCATGCTGCCGCCAGGATGCCAGGCTTCCTCGCTCTCGGGAGAAGCAGGTCGAGGTCCGCACGGATCTCTTTGATCGGCGCTGGATCCCCCTGGCGGCGCCCCCGTCGCCGCCCCATGGCGCGCTCCGCGCGCCAGGGGGTGGGGTTGGGGGCAGCACCGACCTCAGAGAAGCCCGCCCAGACCTGCCCAGGCATCCGGCGTCTCGTGGTGTTCTAGACGCAGGCCCCTGACTTCTCGACCACTTCCCTGGGGCTGGCGTTTCATCCCGGGCCGTTGTTTGACGGCTCCGAGGTCCGGTAAGGCCGTCTAGGATTCGGGGCGTTCCCGACGATTCATCATTATTCCACAAGTCATGCTTTAGTTGGTGCTCCTCATTCCTTCTCATCATGCCACCTCGCCTCTTCTTTTTAAATTGACAACAAACAGGATGAGGAGGAGGAGGAGGAGGAGGAGGAGGAGGAGGTAGCGGAGGACCAGGAGGACGATGAGGAGGAGCTTGAGGAGTCGCCCACCCCCCCGCTCCTATCACTTTTCCTCCTCAGTGCTACCCTCCATGCGTGAATTTTCCTGCTCCTGCTCACCATCCACTGCCGCCCTCTCACTTCTCAGGAGGAGGAGGAGGAGGAAGAAGAAGAAGAAGAGGAGGAGGAGAAGGAAGAGGAGGAACCTTGATATGGGAAGGATGACGAGGAGGAGGCGAAGGAGGAGGAGAAAGAGAATGACCACGACGAGGATATTGAAGAGTCACTCCCCCAGCTGATCTTGTCATTCCCCCTTCTTTTGTTCACTATCCTCCCCACACTCCTTCTGTTCTTCATTGGGCAGAGCAGGAGGAAGAGGAGAAGGAAAGTGTGTGGTGGATGTTCATGTACGTTCCTTGTGTGGTGGACTTGCACTTAAATCCCTGTTTTGGTGGATCCACTGGTAATCTCCTTTTGTTGGTGCGCTACAAAAACGACTCCGATGGAGGGCTGAAAGACGGACACAATTGAATTGTACGGATCCTGCGTGGATCAGGTCGCGCAGGCGCGAATGGCGGGGATACTTACTCGATGCGGAGATCCCCATATGTGCATCTAGTTTCCTGTCATTTTCCGGTTCGATTGTCTGGGTACGAGAGAGTCTGAGTATGGGTGGGCTGAGTATGAGAGTCGGAGTGCGGGTGAGCTTGAGTGCGAGCGAGCCTGAGTGAGTGTGAGTGAGTCTCAGTGTGATTGAGTCTGTGCGTAAGAGTATGAGTATGACTAAGCTTAGTGTAGGTGTATCCGAACCCGAGTGGTCTGAGTATGAGTGCGAGTGACTCTGAGTATGAACAGCCTGCGAGGGAGCATGCGAGAGGACAGAGGGGAGAAGGCGGCAAAGAGACAGTTCTTTCCTCCTCCTGTGACCTGATTCGTCCTAAGCAATCCTCCTCCTCCTCCTCATCCTCCTCCTCATCTTCCTCCTCCTCCTTCTCCTCCTCCGCCTCCTCCCTGGCGGCCATCCTTCCCCCCACCTGCGTCCTCCTCCTCCTCCTCCTCCTTCTCCTCCTCCCTCCTCCCTCCTCCTCCCTCCTCCTCCTCCATCCTCCTCCTCCTCCTCCTCCTCCTCCTCTTCCTCCTCCTCCTCCTCCTCCTCCTCCTCCTCCTCCTCCTCCTCCTCCTCCTCCTCCTCCCTGACAAGTGTCCCGCTCCCTGGCAACTCCTCCTTAGGGTGCCCACATGCATGATACGATTGCTATACCGCGGCGACCACGAGGCCCCCAAAAGAGAGAGGCCTGGGCAACCAAACAGATACGCCGCCTGAGACATCCCCACACTGGCCGCGAACGGGGAAGCGACATATACATCGAGGTTCCCCTGGAGAGTGTTGAAACCAGCGCCTCGCTCGAGACATCTCCAGACGTTGCTCTGACAGCAGGGCATGTTGGGCACCCAAAACGCGCAATCCGCTGGAGCCAACTCCACAATCTGAGCGCGTTCGGGCCCGCTCCCCCTGGAGAGTATTGAAACCAGCGCTTGGCTCGAGACATCTTCGGGCTCTGCTCTGAACGCAAACGAGTCTGGCCACCAAAATAGGCAAACCGCCCGAGCCATCCTCGCAAACTGAGCCCCTGGCGGTGCTGAAGCCAGCGCCTCCCCCGAGACGTCCTCAGAATCTGCTCTGAACGCAGACGAGTCTGGCCACCAAAATGGGCAAGCCGCCCGAGCCATCCTCGCAATCTGGGCCCCTCGAGGTGCGAACACGGGCGCCTCGCCCGAGACATCCCCAAACTCTGCCCCGAAACAGACAAACCGCTCGAGACATCCCCGCCATCTGGGCGCGAACTGAGGAGCAGTGAGATACATCCTGCCCCCCTCCGCCCCCCCCCCCCTCCCCTGGGGTGCGCCTCGCCACAGATAACCTCAACATCTGCTCCGAGTGCGAAGGATGTTGGGCAGGCAAGCAGGCAAACCGCTCGAGACATCCCCGCCATCGGGGCGCGAACTGAGGAGTGAGATACCCCCTGCTCCCCCCCTGGGTGTGCTGAATCCAGCGCCTCGCATCATCATCATCATCATCATCATCATCATCATCATCATCATCATCATCATCAGCAGCAGCAGCAGCAGCAGCAGCATCAGCATCATCATCATCAGCAGCATCGTCATCATCATCATCATCAGCATCATCATCATCATCATCATCATCATCATCATCATCATCATCATCATCCTCATCATTATCATTATCATCATCATCATCATCATCATCATCAGCATCATCATCATCATCATCATCAGCAGCAGCAGCAGCATCATCCGTACCCCTCTGGCTCAAGCCATTTTGGCTCAGGTTCGAGCGCGCACAAGTCCAGGCCTCACAGAATGCGCCTGCCCCACCAGAGTACGTAGTCCGCCGCACCGCGTCGACCATCGGCCACGGGGTGCGGCGCGGCGTGGAAACCCGTCGCGACAAGCCGCCCGCTGCGGCAAAAAGGCCGGCGAGGTGGCCCCCTCCGACGCCCGCGGCCGCAGGGCCGAAGCCAGCGGAGAAGAAGAGCGAGGACAAGAAAGGTCAGGAGGGGAAAAAAACACACACACACACACAGACACAATGAATCGTCGATTCCCAAGAAAATATAGGAAACTATGGGAAGTGGGAGGGAAGGCAAAAACCGAGAAAATATGTCAACATATGGAGGATATTGTTATTTGTGTGCATTTATTTGTGTGTCCTCGGGCCCCTTCGAAAGGATATGTCTACGGCTTCTTCGACCTGAAGAACGCCGAGGAGTTCAAGACTTGTCTACAGCCCCATGGCCGAACCGACGCTGGAGCCCTACGGGGGCAAGTTCATCATGAAGCACGCGCTGGTACCCGCGACGGCCGCAGAGATGGGCATGAAGGAGTCCAAGGGCTTCGGCACTACGGGCATGATGGCCTTCATGCTGGAGTTCGACACCTTCGAGAAGGCCATGGGCTGGTTCACGGGTCCCGAGTATGCCGCGGTGCTTGCGAAGCGTGACGAGGTCGCCGACTTCAAGATGGCCGTTGTCGAGGGCGGCCCGATCCCCGCTGGCGCCGGCCTCGTGGTTGGCTTTTTCGACCTGAAGAACCCCGAGGAGTTCAAGACTGTCTACAGCCCCATGGCCGAGCCGACGTTGGAGCCCTACGGAGGCAAGTTTGCCATCAAGCACGCGCTGGTGCCCGCGATGGCCGCAAAGATGGGCATGAGGCATGAAGGAGTCCAAAGGCTTCGGTACCACAGGCCAGATGGCTTTCGTGCTGCAATTCGCTGATTTCGAGAAGGCCATGGGCTGGTTCACGGGCCCCGAGTATGCCGCGGTGCTTGCAAAGCGCGACGAGGTCGCCGACTTCAAGATGGCCGTTGTCGAAGCGATGGGAGGCTCCAAGGCGGCGGCTGAGGATCCAAGGCCCGCGGAGGCGGCCCCTTCGGCGCCCGAGGTGGCGCCCGTGGCGCAGGAGGTGGTGAAGTGCAGCATGCGGGGCAGGCGCAAAGCGCCGGAGCAGAAGGCCGGCCGGCGGCCTCAGGCGAGGCGCGTGGTGGACTTCGGCGACCACGACGCCGGGAAGTGGGTGCTGACCAGCACCGAGTACGACGGCTCCTACGGCATCATCGGCGGGACACCCGTCGTCCACGAGAAGACGGGCCAGATCCAGGAGGGTCTGGACCTGCTCAAGCAGGAGCCGCACAGGTATCTCTCGCTGTGGTACCAGACGGACATGACATCGTGGCCCACGGATCAGCAGCAGTTTTCGCTGTGTGAGCGAAGGAAGCAGAGGATTGTCGTTACGGAGTCGAAAGGGGCGCCGTTCACTTACGTCGAGAGCAAGTACCACGCCCTGCCTGATTGCCAGGTGGAGCACGGCCAGTTTACGGACAGCATGTCCTACGCGGGCGCCCCGTGCACGGAGGGCAAGCAGCCCGGCACGGGGGCAGGGTTGCGCAGACGTGCCGGGCCTGAGCGTCATTAAGGACGTGGACCCGAACGACGTGCTGCAGGGCAGCGTCGGCGACTGCTGGCTGCTCTCCGCCATGTGCGCCTTGGCGGAGTTCTCGGGCGCAGTCAAGAAGGTGTTCGCCCAAACTCCTGGCATCGACTCCATGCCGGGCGAGGGCGAGAACAAGTACGTGGTGACGCGTGTACGACCTGAAGACTTGGAAGCCGGTCGACATCGAGGTCGACGAGCGGCTCCCAGGGAACCCAAGCGGCAGCGGCCTGCTGGGCTGCGGCCCGAGCGCGTCTGGGGACCTGTGGGCACCCTACATCGAGAAGGCGTGCGCCATCCACTGCGGAGGATGGGACAAGATCAATGGCGGCCAGTGCACGCACGCCTGGCGCATGCTCACGGGCTGCAGAGATCAGTACACCTTCATGCCGGACGCCAGCGTCAATGTACGGCTGCTTCGGGGCCATTGAACCCCAACACCCACGAGTGGGAGGAGCTCGCCAACTCGCCGCACGACGGATTCCGCGGCCTGTGGCCCCACCCGTGGCCCGAAGTGGGCGGCGGCGGCGGCCTGATGCACAAGATCGACTCGGACGAGATGTTCGAGCGCATGTGTGCGTTTGACGACGAGAACTACATCATGGGTGCGGGCACCAAGGCCGGCTCGGACACGCAGGACACCGACGGCATCGTGGATGGCCGCGCCTACACGATCATGGATTGCGTCAACAACGCGGGGGGCACGGAGTTCGATTTGATCAAGGTGCGCAACCCGTGGGGCCAGGGCGAGTTCAAGTCGGGCATGTGGGACGACGATGGCCCTGGCTGGACGCAGTACCCTCAGGTTAAGGAAGCCCTGAAACCTGTGGCGGCCGATGAGCGTGTGTTTTCTTGGTTGACAAAGAGGAGTTCTTCAAATACTTCAAGACCATCTACGTGTGCGCGAAGAACATGACCGAATGCATCGAGGCCTCTCAATGAAAGGTGTCGGATTTCGACCGCCTTGCGCTGGGCAAACTGAGCGGCCCTCTAATATCCTTGGTTATAGGTTCTGAAGAGTGAGGGCCTAACTTGATCGCACGGGTGCTGGAGAGCAGGCGAGGACAAGAGCGAAGCGGTGTTTTCCAGCGTTCCGTTTTTTTCCTCATTCGCTTGTCTCGTACCCCATGTGGAGCGGCCAGGCCGCTTCTGCAGCGAAGACTCGCCGCTGCATCTGCTGACGCTAGGGGGCAGCCTTTTTTACAGAGAGCCCCGGTAGGCTTTGTCTCCTTCGGCCTTGCGAGGGACTCCGAGCAAGTGTGGCGGCATTGCTGCCGAATGTGCTGTTGTTGTTTTTTGTTTCGTTGCCAGTTGTATACCTGTGGACTTCACGATCAAGGCGGCGCGGCCTTGCCCGTTCAGGCTCGTCGTCAGGCTGGAGGCGTGCCAGAGAGAGCGGCACCGCGCGCGCCACGGTCCGCATTTGTTTTGATGATTCTGCTTCGAGCGATGCCCACCGAAACCTTAAGCGGTTGTTCCCGATGGCACGCGATCGCCGAATTGGTCGACAATTGCCGTTTCTGGATTCAAAAACGGTTCAACCGTCTTCCATGTAGTCACGTTCTTGTACGTTGTGGTCTATTATGTATTGTTATGTTCTCGACGGGCCGGCGTGCCGTCGTGACGCCTCTGACGTTAGATGCGTCGTATGTTATGATGGTTCTCTTCACTTAATGTTCTCTTCTGATCGAGTATGCTCTGTTATGCTCATCTCTGTCACCATGTAATTTAAAATGGTATGGTATGATCTAGTTTGCGACACTGTGTAACGACATGATGTATTCTGTCAGGTTATGCTGTGGTATAAGTTGCTCCATGATGCTGGTGGCAGCCCGGCTCGGTATAGTAGAATGTGATATGTTATGCTAGCATGATTCGCTGTGTTATGCTAGACGCTGTCGTGCTATGATATCTTCTGTGACGCTGTCATGATATGTTATGATGTGTTATGCCATGCTGTGTTATGGTATGATTTGATATGTTATGTCATGTCGTGTTCTGTCGTCTTCTGTTATGTCATGTTATTGTATGCAATGTTCGGTGATGGTCTGGTTGTTGACGGCTCGGCTCTGTATAGTATGATACGATCTGCTCTGCTAGCATGTGTCGTCATGCGTTGTTGTTGTGCTATGACATGTTCTGTGATGCTGTGGCATGATCTGATATGTTCTGCCAAGGTGTGTTATGGTATGCTCGGTTCTGGTATGTGTCGTTGTGTTCTGTCGTCGTCTGTTATGCCATGTTCTGTTCTGTGATGTTCTGTCATGCCCTGTTTTGCCATGGCATTGATATGTTCTGTTCTGGCATGCTCTGGCATTATCGTGTTATGTTCTGTCATGTGCTGTTGTGCCATGTTATGTTCTGTCGAGTTCGACGTCGCTCTGCTCTGCTATCGTTGGCTGGTATGTTATGTGATACTGTGTCATGATTTGATATGCTCCGTCACGGTGTGTTATGTATGCTCGGTTATGTCATGTCATGACGTGTTTTGTCGTCTTCGGTTACGTCATGTTCTGTTATTGTATGTTATGTGATGTTATGTTTGGTGACGACCCGGCTATGCATAGTATGTTAGTTATGGTCTGTTGTGCTAGTATGTGTCGTTATGTTATGTTGTCGTGCCATGATATGCTCGATGACGTTGTGTCATAAGATGATATAGTATGTCAAGGTGTGTTGTGGAATGTTGGTATGCTCGGCTATGTTATGTCATCTTGTGTTCGATCGTCCTCCGTTATGTCATGGTCTGCTCTGGTATGTTATGTGATGTTATGGTATGTCCTGTGTTGTCATGACACTGCATTGTTATGTTATTACATGGTCTGTCATGCTCGTGTTCTGTTCTGCCATGTCATGTTGTGTTCTGTCGTGCTCGTCGTCGTTTGCTCTGCTGTCGTGTTATGATGTGTTATGTGATGCTGTGTCATGATATGATATGTCATGTCAAGGTGTGTTACGCTTTGGTTTATCATGTTATGTTATGTCGTGATATGTCATCTTCTGTTATGTCATGTTCTTGTCTGGCATGTTCTGCGACTTCCTGTAATGCTATACTTTGTCATGATATTGATGTGCTCTGTTCTGTCATGTTCTGTCATGCTCTGTTCCGCTCTGCCATGTTCTGTTCTGTCATGTTGTGTTCAGACGGGTTCGTCGAGGGTGCGAGGCGGCGCACCCGGAACTCTCGGGGATCATCGGGACAATTTTGGGTCTGGCGGCCGCGGTATGCAGGGTGGGTTGACCGGGCGCGAGGCGGCACACCCAGGACTCTCGGGGATCATCGGGACAATTTGGGGTCTGGCGGCCGCGGTATGTAGGGTGGGGTTGGCCGGGCGCGAGGCGGGACACCCGGGGTATTCGGGGTTCATCGGGACAGCTTGGGGTCTGGCGGCCGCGGTATGCAGGGTGGGGTTGGCGAGGCGCGAGGCGGGATACCCGGCACTCTCGGGACAACTTGGGGTCTGGCGGCAAAAGTATGCAGGGTGGGGTTGGCCGGGAGGCCTGTTTTTGAAATACCCCAACCCGTCGGGTAGGGAAAACAACAGCAGCATCATCGTCATCGTCATCATCTTTATCGTCATCATCATCACCGTCATCATCAGGAAGATGAGGAGGAGGGAGGTGTGTGTGTGTGTGAGGAGTCGGCGCGGTCGGAGAATTGTTCACTGCGTGGAGCTCCCCGTATGTGGATCTATTTGGCAGGACCTGTCCGCCGCGAGTGTCTAGGCGCAAGAGACTTCAAATATAGACGGGCTTGAACAGTCACTGACTGGGCGTGAATCTAACTGTGAACGAGTTGGGGGGTGAATCAGTGTCAGTAGTACGAGTTAGTCGATGCGCATGAGCCTGAGTATGTCTAAGCTTAGGATGAGTGTATCTGCGCGTCAGTGGCCTGAGCATGGCTGAGCGCGACTGAGTCAAAATGGCTCCGCGATCCCTCCCTCCCTCCATGATGAAGCGAGGAATAGGGATGTCCGTGCAAATGCCGTACGAAACCCTTGCGCTTCGTTGGCTGGCCCAGAAAATCTCACGCAGTGGCTGGAACGTGATACAGTCAGCCACGCCACTGAGATGAGAGGCCCACTCTATAGGAACATGCATACAACACTCAGGACTGGAGCAATAGGAGAGGGGCAATCGATCGGAGCATACGTAGCACACAAGAAGTCGTGCCCCAGGAGAGGCCCATTCTACAGGATCAAATGGAAACACACATAGGACTGGAGCCGCATGAGAGGGGCAATCGATAGGAACAGACGTAGAACATTGAGGATTCGTGCCCCTGGAGAGGCTCAATATATAAGAACACACGGGAACACGCAGGATTGGATCCACCAGAAGGGCATCTGATAGAACATACGTAAGACACGACGGAGAGGCCTAATACATAGGAGCAGATGTAAAACACATCGGATTGGAGCCACAGGAGAAGGGCAAGATATAGGAACAAACGTCAAACACAGGATTGGAGCCTCTCCTGTGGCCTTCTGGGGCCTCCTGGGACCTCGTAGTGCTTCCTGGAGCCTCTTGGGTCCTTTTGGCGCCTCCTGGGGGCTCCTGGGGCCCCCTGGGGCCTCCTGAAGGCTCCTGGGGCCCCCTTTGGGGTCCTGGGGCCTCCCTGGGTCAACTGGAACCTTTCGGGTCCTTCTGGTGCCTGGGGCTTCCTGGGGCCTCCTGGAACTTCCTGAAGCCTCCTGGTGCCTCCTGGACCCTCCTGGGGCAACCTGGGGAGGATCCGTGCCCCAGGAGATGCCCGATCTATAGGAACATGCGCAAAACACTCAGGATTGGAGCCGCAAGAGAGTGGCAATGTATAGGAACACGCGTCAAGCATTCAGGATTCGTGCCCCAGGAGAGGCGCAATGCATAGGAGCACGCGGGAAACACGTAGGAGTGCAGCCGCCAGAGAAGGGCACGTTGCAGGAGCATGCGTAAGGCACGAAAGGAGTCGTGCCCCGGGGGGAGCTCGACGCGTGACCGACGGAGCAAGCTGTCTCGACGTTGTCGAGACGCCAGCTGTCTGCGTCCGAAAAAGTGTAGGTCGCCCGCCCTTCCCCCCGAGGAGGCGCACGAGGCGGCAGCGCAGCAAAGCCTGCGCGGCGGCGAGGCCGCCGAGGGAGGCGCCTCCGCCCAGCCCCTGCTCGGCGTGGAGCTGGCGGGCCTCCCGCCGCACGCCGGGCCCCGCGGGGCCGCGACTCCCTGAGGGGCGGCCGCGGTGAGGGGCACCGTGAAGGGAAGGAGGGGCTCAGGGGAGGACGCGTGGGCCCCCGATCAAGCGGCGGCGAGGCGTCCTGGCTCGCCCATGGCCCCGCCGAGCAGTGCTCTGAGAGCCTGCTGTGGCTGCCACGAAATGGTCTCAGAACATGTCTGGCGGAGTCTGTCTGGCTTTATGACGTCGGGCCTATTTTCTAAGAGCATTGATTTTGCTCTCAGAACATGTTTGAGGTTCTAAGGACATTTCGTGGTAGGACTCTGGGAATGCCGGGACGGTCGGTCCCTGCTCAACCCAACCGCCCTCTGATCGCCGACAGGGGCCCGATAGCCCACGCCGTCCGGGAACGTGCCGTTTCGCTCTCGGCCCCGGGGGGCCTGTCGCCGATCCAGCGGCGACGTGCCGCGGATTCAGCCCGGACGCTTCCCCCCCGGAGCTGGTCCCCCCCCCCCGGAACGTTGCTCCTCGGAGGGGCGCCGCGGACCTGGCAGGCTTTGGACTGTGCCCCGTCGCGCGCGCACCCCTTTCCTTCAGTCGGGCGTGTCCCTCTACATGGGGGATTTTTTCAAAAATAATTGAAAAAATAGTCTGGGGACGATTGTTTGACTATGTTTGAGGACCTGGGGGGCATTTTTTGAGGATTTCTTATTTTTTCGCCCCAAATCCCCCTGTAGGGGGACACGCCCGACTTAACCCTTTCCCTTCCACCCTCCCCCTCTGAAGCCAAGATGCTGAACTCAAGACCACCTCGGCCTCGGGAGGGGCCCTGGTGGTTCGAGGCACTCCTCAGATCCAAGCGGGGGAGCGCACTCGTGGCCAAAACTCGCCGTGGCCATCAAAGCCCCGTTCGCTCCTCGTTCAGTCGGGGGTGGACAGAAACCCCAACAGTGACACGTCGATTAGTGAATTCTCCGTTCTCGGTTCTCGATGTGGCGCCGTGGCCGTTATTTTCCAGGCTTGCGCCCGCCAGGTTTGGGCCTCGGGTCGTTTTCACTAAACCACGTTTCACTAAAGGGGATCCTGTCCATCTCCGCATCTGCGTCCCCTGTGTCAGCACGATGAGTCTACGGTCAGGAAAGTTGGATTCGCATGTCGCGTTGCCGGTTCTGGCCCACCGCGTCTCGGCGCGACACGTGAATCACTTCCCAGCCCCCAAGCATTGACGTTCCGATTTCGCCCCGCGAAGCGGAGCGACACGCTATCCGCTTGCAAGGCATAGCGTGTCGCTGTGGCCGCCGCCGCGACACGCTAAGCAACAGTTTCCGACCACCATCTCCCTTCCCAGGTTCCTCTTCCCTTTCCATCTCCTGCTGCCGCTGGCCCCCCAACTCCCTCCTCCTCCACTCTCTCTCCTCCTTCTCCTGCTCCTCCTGCACCTCATCTTTCTCTTTCTGCTCCCCTGCCTCCTCTTCCTCCTCCTCCTCCTCCGTAGCGGTTGCCGCTGCCCGACAGGCAGGAGCGCCCATGATTTGTACTGTTGCTCGTGCACTTCTTCTCTATATCGTGCGGAGAAGCAGTAGCAGCAGCAATTCTTATCGGACCAGTAGCAGTAGCTAAGAGGTGATTGCGGACTCCCCAGTGAACGCTCCACATCCTCCGTAGCGAGTTTCTGGCTCAATCCCCACTGAGCCTAGGTCAGCATTGCAGTCCTCGCTGCCGACGCATGGTTGTGCGTGTTCCGCTTGTTGTTGCCGCTGTCTCCCTCTGGACCTGCGGATCGCGCCAGCAGCTCCACACGCGTCTGTTCATGCCAGTGTCATGCAGTTTCTGGGCGGCCGCCTACCACGTCGCTTGCCGCGCGCACTGCATACGACGCACTCCTGTGATCGCCAGCCGCATGAGGAACACGGCCACGCACCGTGCTTTCCTGCGTGGCCAGCCGTCGCAGATTCCGCCACGGCGACGGCGGAGGGCTGGACCGCCCGTGCGCCCTGCGGTGGGCCCCTGGGAGCAGGAAGGGGATGAAGGCGAGGGAGGAGGAGGAGGAGGAGGAAGCAGGAAAGGGAGGACAGGAAGCATCGAGGGTGGCCAAGACTGACCGACTGCCTCCAAGGTGAGATCTCTGGCAGACGAGTGATGACGCGCCTCTCCGTGTCGTGGGTGATCCACTCGGCGGCAAGCAGAGAACCGCACAACCAGTGCGCCGTTGGGCTTTCAGGCGGCGACGGAGCGATGTTCCCGCCCCGCGCAGGCGGCTGCGAGAACGACACGCTCTGCTGCGCTGCTGGGTGACGCCGTCAGCCCGAGTCGGCCCGCGCCCTCGGGGGGGGGGCCCGACTGCCCACGCCGCCGGCCCGCCACGTCCCGTGGAGGGACAGCGTCGGGGCGCCGAGCCCAGCGCGGAAGGCCGAGCACAGCCACCGACGAGCGCCTCAGGAGGCGACGGGCCGCTGCGCGCGCCACGCCCGCTCTGGGCCCTCACCGCGAGCGGTGGTGGCGGGGAGGTGCGACCAGCACGCCGAGGCCAGTGATGTGGAGCTGGCGTGCGGTCACGCGAGCTCCCCTCCCTCCTCCTTCTGCTCCTCCTCCCTCTGCTCCTCCTCCTCCTCCTCCTCCTCCTCCTTCTGCTCCTCCTCCTCCTCCTCCTCCTCCTCCTCCTCCTCCTCCTGCTCCTCCTGCTCCTCCTCCTCCTCCTCCTCTTGCTCCTCCTCCTCCTCCTCCTGCTCCTCCTGCTCCTCCTGCTCCTCCTCTTGCTCCTCCTCCTCCTCCTCCTCCTCCTCCTCGTCCTCCTCGACAGTATAGGGTAGCACGGGTGGTCTAGCTTATGTGTTTGTGAGGGTTGGTAGGGTTATATTTCGCCCACCCTGTACCCTCCCTCCTCCTCCTCCTCCTCCTCCTCCTCCTCCTCCTCCTCCTCCTCCTCCTCCTCCTCCTCCTCCTCCTCCTCCTCCTCCTCCCTCCTCCTCCTCCTCCTCCTCCTCCTCCTCCTCCTCCTCCTCCTCCTCCTCCTCTCCGTAGCCATTTTGTTTTGGCTCAAGCCATTTTGGCTCAAGCCACTTGGCTCAAGTCATTTCGGCTGGGCTCGGGAAGGCGGGCGCGCGCCATGGCGGCCGCCGCCCAGCTTGCGTCGGCGCACTTCGAAATGGCCCGTCGACGCGAGCCATAGAATGGCGCGGGAGTTGCCGTCCGGAGGCGCCTGGTGCGCCTGATGTGGCTGCGCCTGCTGGCCGGCGGGCGGCGCGGAGCCGCTCATCGGGGTGATCCGCCACGAGTGGGCGCAGGCGCTGCCTGCCGAGCGGCTCAGCGCGGCGGAGGGGCTCAGGCGGGGTCGCGAGGCCCTCGCTGTGCTCCTCGGGCAATCGGCAGCTGATGAGAACATCGTGAAGGCGGAGGTGGTAGGCGCTAGCGCCGGGGCTCCCCACGGCGGCGCTGATGGTGCTGCTCGTCGGCGGTGTGACGAGCCACTTCCTGGCCTCGCGATCGTGAAGGATAACGGAGCTGGCGCT